TTGTGGGTCGTTGTGGGGTCGTTGTGGGTCGTTGTGGATTGTTGTGGGGTCGTTATGGGGTCGTTGTGGGTCGTTGTGGATCGTTGTGGGGTCTTTGTGGGGTCGTTGTGGGTCGTTGTGGGTTGTTGTGGATCGTTGTGGGTCGTTGTGGGGTCGTAGTTGGTCGTTGTGGGGTCGTTGTGGCTCGTTCCATGTTTTAGTAACTACGGCCATCTTCTGCTGACATACTCTTTTTTTATGAATATATATATGAACTTCAAAATTTCCAACGTTTATCAAAACAACTTTTTTTGCATGAAATATTGATAATTTTAGCGCGTTGTTCTTGAAATTTGAGTGTTTTCAATGCAAGGAAGGCGTAATAATATAAATGTATAGGTATAGAACAGGTATGGTATTACGAATATATAGACTGCTGTTTGTATAAAATTGTTTTCTTTTTTATATTCTGCAAAGATAAAAACTATCGAATTTTTCCATGATGTTTACAGAGAAACGTCACAGCTGCCAACCCCCCACCCCCACCCCCAAACGAACATATGACGTTTCTCGTGGAAAAAATCGATATGTGAGGCTTCCCTTGGGGGGATTTTTCAATTTTAAAACTATTCTTAAAATTATCGTGTTACCATGACAATACTTCATGTTTGGAAAACATAATAGTTTTGTCAGCAAGGCGAGGGTTTCTGCATGCATGTATTTTCTAGTATAGCTTATAATAGACATTTGCTCTATTCTATACAGTATATACAAGTATTGGTATTTTTGTTTGAATAAAGTTATTGTTTGTGATGAAAACCGGAAGTGGAGATCAGTCACTGATCTCATTCATCGTCTGGATGTAGGGAATTGCGAACCTGCAACCTGCAAAATTAACCAGCCAGCCGCCATTGATTTAAGCCAGGACTCTCTTTTATTGTGTTTTCCACAATAAATTGTGGAATGCTCAAAGTGGAGAATCTGAGATTTTTATGTTAAATTCTCCCTCTTGGGAAGAGGGGGATAATACCACCCTCACTTCTATGTTGGGGAGAGTGGTAAATATGGGTTAGGCCGATGGAATTAAGGTATGGGTTTACCATTACCAAAAATTTCAAAAGTTGATGCGGATTTTTTTTCATTCATTATTTTTCACGATTTGCCTAAAATAGTTCCTTGTGGGACCCCACAAGAAAATATTTGTGCACTCTGATAAAACTCCATTCATAATACTTTTGCCAATTTTTGCCAAAGAGTTGCCTGCGGAGGATGTTAGAGCAAGTCTAAATCGGGGGCGGCGCGTAAATACGGTATGCTGTTCGCGGGTCCGAGGTTTTCTCCCCAACCTCGGACCCGCGAACAGGCTGCGTAAGAGACTAGTGTAAACCCGTAAATTACGGAGTGACAGCTTATACTTGTAAACATTGAAATATTTTGGTTGTTTCGGCAGTTTTTATTGAAATTTTTCAGCATAATCAGCAATATGATCCAACCTCGTTGGGAACGAGGTTGCAATATGATCTTGCAATTCTTGCAATATGTATAGGTTATTTTGAGGCAACGAGGGGATATGTGATTTATTCACCGAGGCGCGCAGCGCCGAGGTGAATGAACACATATCCCCGAGGTGCCTCAAAATAACGTACTTATTTTTCACACTGCGAGGTCGCGTTAAGGCCGTTTTCCACTAGGCGAATTTTTTCGCGCGACGCGAAGCGAAAACCGAAATCCGGCAACGTGATTGGTCGGCGAAAAAATTCGCGGCGAAAAAGTAGGATCGCTTCCTACTTTTTATCTGTTCGCGCGAACAAATTCGCCTAGTGGAAAACGGGCTTTAATGAGTCAGAATAGAAATAATTCTTAATGTCATATTGCCTTCGTTATGTCGTTTTTTTCTCTTTTTTGTGCTGCAAAGACATGGCAGGTGAATATTAGAGGGGATTATTAATTACAGGTGAATATTAGAGGGGATTATTAAACGGAAATGGATTAGAGGAGAATATTGAATATATTCCCCGATAAGAACAAAGGAAACCGAGCTGGGTGAAAAATAAGATACCTTACTTCCCATCATCCCCTGCACGCATAAACTCTAGCAGTCTAGCTTGCTTGAACGAGCAGAACGAGATTGTTTATCTATTCCAGTTCCAGAATCTAAAATTAATACAGCAATTTATACATATGATCAATTCCGTCTATAATTATATACATCCACTGTTTCGTTGACTGTATGAAATGGAGAGTTGTAGTTCAACGTATTTTATTGTCGGCAATGGCAAGTAAGGATGGAAAATTTGGTGATTCAAATGATATCTTCGCAAATCTGGTGATTGTTTTATTTTTATGATATAAAATTGTTCAGCTGCTCAAACTGGACTTTGCATTCGTCATTCTTTTCGACTCGTCAATCGTCATTCTATTATCGCAAATAGTCTTTGAAGAATAACTTTTGCTGAGTACTTGGATGGATGGAATTAACATGCTTTAATTTACCCATCTTAGCAGGCAATCTTGCTCAACATTTACGCCTGTATTGACAAAGTAAGTGTTGTTTACTGTGTTTGAAATATGTTTGGCGACATGCTTCATTTGCCATTCACTGTAAGGCATACATTAGGGATGTTAATTTGCCAAACATAGCTTTATAGATGTATAAACAATATATTGTATTTGTGGTCCTCACGCCTTTGAGTATTTCACAGTAAAGGATCTGGCGTGCACGTGTTTTTTAACAATTATGCTACATAGTTGATGAAAGGCCTCAAGTGAATTGTAAGTTGTTACATATTGTGTTGTTAAAGCCAGGTTTCCATATGGTTGTAAAGATAGAGTCACAATCTTTCTCAACGGCCAGATTACAATTGGGTTTTTTAAAACCTATAATTCCAAATATAATCACTCTGCCTATTTTCGCTTCTAAACTGTTGTATTTCGGCTGTTGAGAGATAGATCATGACTCAATCTTTACGACCGTGACAACCATATAGAAACCAGTTTTAATGCTTGCCATTTTACAACTACATATTCCTAACTCATATTAAACTCGAACGATCTGTGCCAGCTTAGGTTGTACCACAAACACCAGAAAATTGGATAGGATAGCGATTCAACTACCTGAAAAATAGAAGTAAAATTTCGACGTTTAACTTCCCAATGAAGGCCCTATATATATATATATATATATATATATATATATATATATATATATATATATATATATATATATATATATATATATATATATATATATATATATATATATATATATATATATATTTTGTTTCTTGAGATTCGACTCGTGATATAAATGTATAGGTGTACTGATCTTCTTACGAGTATGAGCCGGGCAGCAGAAGATCAATACACCTGTATATATATACAGTCCTTGAAACTCCCGAAATTTCAGGTTGGCAAGAAATTGCCGACCTAAAAGCGATAATTCTCAATCTACGTCGGCAAATATTTTCAAAACAAATAGAAAATATTCATATGAAAATTTAATTTGCTTGCTGCAAATACGTGTAAATATTTATAAACAGCAATTAATTGCAATCAATGCCAATAGCAAACAAAACAACTAACAAAATCTATGAACTCCAATCGGACAATGCATGCATGTTGTGACAAAATGTTGTGACAGACCGTACACTACTCTACTTTATTACCATATACTTCCGCTTAAATCTTGAAGCTTGACGATAATATGCAAAGCGATATGTGTAGATTTAGTAGGTCGGCAAAATTTTGCCGATTTACTTTCAAATATGTCTCAGCATTTTTTCCGCGAACGCATCTTTAATACTCATTAATAATTCATTAAAATACTCATTAATAATTCATTCAGCATTAAAATACTCATTAATAATTCATACACCATGTGGCAAATCATGTCAGATCGTGGAGTGACTTTATATAGATCTGATAAAGAATGTGGCTCTATATAATTGTTCATCCTAATTAGTATGATTGTATAATGGTTCATCTAATTAGTGTTCTTTTGTAGTCATATTTTAAGTTATTCAAAACACTTGTTGTCATGTTTTATCAGATATAAAAGGCATATAGTAAAACGCGGACTGGACTCGATTAGTAAAACGCGGACTGGACCCTATTAGTAAAACGCAGACTGGACTCTATTAGTAAAACGCGGACCGGACTCTATTAGTAAAACGCGGACTGGGACCAGAATTTTGCGCCAAAATTTGACCAATATAGCAACCTCATTCCCAGGGCTTTTCCCTTTTTGTCAAATGGAACAATAATGGCAGCGAGCTTTAAAATCCCAACAAGTCTGAAAAGAAAGGTAAAAAAGGAACCAGAGTTGCCAAAGTTTGAGTGGAAACTTTTCAAAAAGAAAATAAGTTGGGTTGCGGTACGTTTGGGTCCATATACCTAGCAAAATACAAAGGAAAGACCAGAAAAAGTGGTTGCCAAAAACAATAATGTTGAGTCCATTGGGCCATTCCATTTAATATAGGTAGTGCAAAGTGATTATCTTAATTCATAATATTTATTGAATGATAACGATATTCTTGCTGTACAAATATTTCAAACCTTTGACAACATCTTTGGCACATGTTGGCATGAAGTCTGCGAACGAGGCAAAGTCAAACTCGTCTACGAAATGGACAAAATCTTCTAGAGTGCAAAGACTTTTTGCAACTCCAAATGGGCGAAAATCGAAGCAAGAATACTCCATCATTATTGAAAATTCAAGGAACTGGATTATGTTCCTGTGGCCTTTTGTACTGTTCAACAGTTATCACTTATTTACTGAGACCGAGGGAAACAGTGTGTTTTGTGGACCCGAGACCGTCGGAAACATCGACGGTCGAGGGTCCACAAAACACACTGCTTTCCCGAGGTCTCAGTAAATAAGTGTTTTATGATATATCAATAGTCAAAGAAACAACAAATTAAAGAACAAATGAACGTAAATACATGAAATATTTTATTGTTAAAACGTTATATTAAACACTGGCTACACTGCAGTTACTTAAAGGTCCAGTTACACGTGCGATTTTCTTCTCGCGCCGGCAACGCAACGCCTTTGCAACGGGTTAAATTTCATTGCGTTACTCGCGCGAGTGAAGTGGTGACACGAGCAATGATAGCTTAGCCGCGTCGCAACTATTTGCATGAAAAAACCGGGCACAAACGTCACTGACAACAACATGGCGTGATGGCGTCGAAGAAAGAACTTGTGGTCATAGCTGCAATGCTTTTGCTGGAAGAAGATGACGAGGAGGGTTAAAGAAAAGAAACGTATTTGGAGCCGGCACTGGCTTCTAGAGAGAAAAAACAAAGCTTATTTCGGTCAGCTTCTTCCCGATCTGGCTGCCAACGACACACCAGGATTTGAAAAATTTATGCGAATGGATTTCGATCATTTCAAAAAGATAGTTGATAATCTATCTGAATCGCTTTACAAGAAAGACACAATAATGCGTGAATCAATCAAGCCAGCAGAAATGTGTTGCGCTACAGCTCGCTGTCCGTACAGAAGCGAATTTCATTGGCTATCTTAAAATAGCCCAAACGTTTCCTGCTCAAACAATGCCTGGGTAATTCGATATTTTCGGCAATCGTTGCCGAAAGTTCAAGCATTTCAACTTTCCGCATCGATTGCCGAGAATATCGGGTTGCAATTGCGTTGCTGCGCCAGATATGTTACACGGGCAATTTCATCAGTAGGCGGCTATTAGTAAAACACGGAGCACACGGAGCACGGAGTACGGAGCACACGGAGCACACGAACTACGGAGCAGTAGAAAAACGAAAATCCTTTATAATAAAATACACTGTTTACTATTACAAATTTTTGTTCTTATTAATAAAGTTTCGCGTTTTACACGTTGAGGAAGTAGAAAAATGGGGCTTTTACTGCACATATCACATATGATGCAAAACTGCCAAAAGCCATAGTATTTAAAATAGGATTGTGCCTGTGAAACTCGTTATCTCATATCTATCAAGCTTATGAGTTATGTAGTTATATTATATTCCGATGGCCAACGCATTAAGAAACACTTAGAGAACAGCCGATATATTTCGTTACCCCTGCCGAAAAATAGCCAAGTACTCATCTTTCAATGTTGCGGATCGACTGAACATTATAAAAGCTTGTCATGGAGAGAAGTGAATTTTCGGTTTATCCTTCGTCCCAGTGACCAGTGAGCAGTGCGCTGTACGGCCTACGTTTAAACCGTTATACAGTGATTACTGCTTTCATTCTTTCAATCCGTTTTGAATATTCGGAATCATTCACTATTATATTATAAAACTGTATAAGATAGCTGTAGAACTATAAATGCTGTAGAATAAAATAAATAAAGAAAACTACGTTTTATCGCGGTATTTGCCGATAAATCGGTAACCGCTACAGAAAAACAGAACAAATTACAGTAAATCACAACAAACCGCGGAAGTGGGACAATTTTTGTATTTTTACTGTAAGACATGCAGAACATGTACGAAATCCATACAGAAGTGTGTGTGTATTCTATACTTTTGAAACAACTAAATCAGACTTCGGAAAATTTGACAGTATTAAAGCTACTTTTGAGAATTTAGATTTTAGGTCTTTGTTTTACATGTACCCAGTAAATATTTTTGAGTTTTGAACTTTGATTCTCACAAGCTTACAATTTGTTTACAATTTACTCTGGCTCTGCCGTGCTGCACGGCAGAGTTGATCGAAATTGTAACAAATACGCGTACACTTAAATGGCTTCCTGAATTTAGTCAATCAGATGTGTAAAAATTACTCGTTTCAATTTTATGTTTATGCTCGAAACTGCTCATGTTTACAATAGCAATTCTAACAATCTTGCCCTCCTTTTCGCCTTTGAGGCGTTGGTGTTGATTTATACACAAAATTCAAAACTCAAAAATATTTACTGGTCTGGGTACATGTAAAACGAAGACCTAAAATCTAAATTCCCAAAAGCAGCTTTAATACGGTCAAATTTTCCGAAGTCTGATTTAGTTGTTTCAAAAGTATAGAATACACACACACACTTTTGTATGGATTTCGTACATGTTCTACATGTCTTGCAGTAAAAATACAAAAATTGTCCCACTTCCGCGGTTTGTTGTGATTTTAATACTGTAATTTGTTCTGTTTTTCTGTAGCGATTACCGATTTATCGGCAAATACCGCGATTTGAAAACTTACTTGTCTTTATTTATTTCATTCTACAGCATTTATAGTTCTACAGCTATCTTATACAGTTCTATAATATTGTGAATGATTCCGAATATTCAAAACGAATTGAAAGAATGAAAGCAGTAATGATGTACTGTATAACGGTTTAAACTTAGCCGGCCGTACAGCTCACTGTCACCGGTCACTGAGCCGAAGGATAAACCGAAAATCACTTTTCTCATCACAAGATTTAATGTTCAGTCGATCCGCTACATTGAAAGATGAGTATACTTGGCTATTTTTTGGCAGGGGTAACGAAATATATCGGCTGTTCTCTACAGTAAGTGTTTCTTTATGTGTTGCCCATCGGAATATAATATAACTACATAAGCTTGATAGATGTAAGATAACGAGTTTCACAATCCCATTTTAAATACTATGGTTTTTGGCAGCCTGGTTTTGCATCATATGTGTTTTTCAGTAAAAGCCCCATTTTCCTACTTCCCCAACGTGTAATACGCGAAAAAACTTTGTTAATAATAACAAAAATTTGTAATAGTAAACAGTGTATTTTATTATAAAGGATTTTCGTTTTTCTACTGCTCCGTACTTCCCGTGCTCCGTGCTCCGTGTGCTCCGTGCTCCGTGCTCCGTGTTTTACTAATAGCCTCAGTAGGCATATCCAAAGGTCGCATCTTCACGTGATGGCGCACGTGATTTTTTTTGTTATTCGCCGGTCGATAACGTATTATCTCCCTCTCGCGCTGTTGCGAGGGAGACAGCCTAATTTCGTCACTCTCACGTGATATGCTCTCAACCAATAAAACACTAGAAAAATGCGACTTTGACTATTGATATATAATAATGAGGCTTCTTTCTCGAAACAGGATTTCGAGTCAATGGACTCGACATTATTGTTTTTGGCAATCACTTTTTCTGGTCTTTCCTTTGTATTTTGCTAGGTATACGGACTCAAACGTACCGCAACCCAACTTATTTTCTTTTTCGAAAAGTTTCCACTCAAACTTTGGCAACTCTGGATCCTTTTTTGCCTTTCTTTTCAGACTTGTTGGGATTTTAAAGCTCGCTGCTATTTTGTTCCATTTGACAAAAAGGAAAAGCCCTGGCCGCCCCTGGGAACGAGGACTATAGATAGTGCATCTAATTAGTCTGCAATTCAAAAATTGAAGCCGTGATTGCAGACGTATGTTTTCTATTTCTTAAACAGGGAATTAAACCTATTCCAAATACATTTTCAAACTATTCAAATGATGAAAGTTATTGTTGTGGGGTTAAGCGTTTATTAGCGAGTGGGAAACTCCAACATGGCCGCCATCTATTCAAGTGGGGTTAACCGCCCTATAAATATATTCTTGGCTTCAATTTTACTAAAAGAGATGCGCTAGTGTATATAAGATATCTATGGATAAATCTCCCAGCAATTACGTTCTTTTCAGGGGCGTAAATGTGGGGTGTGTAGGGGGGTGTTTCACCCCCCCCCCCCAGAGAAATTATCCAGTCGGTCGCAAACTAAGTGCAGTCGGTCTCAAAATTATGCTGTTTACATGCAGTGCTTTGCGAAGCAAATTAAATATTTTCGAAACTCGAGATATACTCAAACTATTTAGTATTGAGTTGGAAATTTGCTCAGAAATAATATGAAGAAATATTACGTACTTATTTCGCGAGTTTATGAACGAATTATCAGTTGGCACTTTTATTTGGAACTTAGGTTCTGCAAGGTCATTTACGGGTGATATTCTATATTAGCGAAAATTTCAAACCCCCCACATCAGACTCCGAAAGGCGATGAATCTCGATCAAAATAGCTAACATTAGTTACAATATTTCTCCGGTCTCTAAACTATATTTTTAAGATGCAAAGTGCAAAAACGAATTTCTAGCCGAGTTATATTAGGAATTACGTTCACATGTAACACGATATGCATATGCATTTTGTTACCAAAGAGTTTTATGTGCCTACTGCAATCAACTCAGAAATTCAATCAATGAACGACGCACTGGTTTAACTGAAATCACGGAGCGAAAAATTGTTTCCACTTACTAGGCGATGTTTCCAATTGTTGTTTACAGTCAGGCCCATAACTAGGTATATGAGTCAATCGAGTTCAATGACAGACTGTAGTTCTCTCCATGTAAGGCATTATTCTTGCCCCACAGTGACGTAAGAAATGGGAGGCTGTATGGGTGCACAAGTACCCCAATAACAAAAGTGCGGGCCAGCGCCCAAATATTACAACAATTGAGCACAAATACTTTTTTATTATGCACCTGATCAATGATGTTCGACCAAAAATATTTGTAATTCTTAGCGTCAGGATTGGGGGCAAACTACAGTATAAAATTATAGCCATTGTGTCACTGTTTATGAAATTGATTTTGTCGTTTAAACTGCTCCCAGAATGCAGGAAATAGCGTTTCTAAGCCTTGGAAAATCAAAAATTTTATGGGAGCATGCCCCCAGACCCCCAAAAGTGTCTCGGTCAATCAAAAATCCTATAGTTACGCGCCTGACAGTTACTGTAACATTAGCCTGCGTGCAGTCCCAGACTCCAAAGACGCAGGCTACTGTAACATCCGATGCATCAGCCGAGCGCAGCTTTTCAAATTTGAAATCAGTGAAAACTGTTATGCGTTCAGTAATGAACCAGGAACACCTTGGTGAACTCTTGACTCTTGCGTGTGAGCGCGATCTAACAGACACAGTCACATGATCGATCTTGACGAAATCGCTAATCCGGGCATAGTACAAAACATGGACTGGATCCATGGACTGGACCCAAAATTGGACTCAAAATTGGACTCAAAATTTTAGCCAAAATTTTGCCGAAAAAATCCATTATTTTTTCGGAGAGAAACAACCCTCAGAATATCGTGCTTTGATTTAATTTGTATAGGCAATTAAAAAACTTCACGTTCCATCACTTTTCCTTGACCTATCTAGCTATTTGTCTTCCAAAATTCTATATTCTATTTTATAAACGTTATCTAGGGTATCTCGTAAATAATAAACCTTTGTGAAATATCTTTGCGCAATGGTCACAAATACATCACATCGATATAAATCATTCCATCAATATATACATCAATATATAGTTATTTTAATTATATACATTTTGTGTCTGTATAATACACCCTCTATGTATTCCGGCATATATATCCTCTAACGAGTAACGAGTTCGCAAAGTTTGTGTTGTCCATATATTCTAATATTTATCGCAACTAGCTATATGTGGGCTTATCATTATGCACATAAATCTGTAATAGTTTTTGAAATGCGAATGAGTTTTAGTGAAGAAAAAAAACTACCCGCGACTATTAACACACGACATAAAATGACGCGTCTATATTTGACAAACGGAAATACAATATGTGCATAATGATAAGCCCACATACAGGTGTATGTATACAACAGAATACCACGGTACCACAGAATACCAGTCTTATTTATTTCATATAAAATTTGAAGGAAATATGCTAAAAACTTGTGATTATATATTAGTTTTAGTCTTAATTGACATATAAAAACAAAAATGTATATTTTCTTAAAAATCCTTAAAAATAATCAGGATTAACAAAAAGTAACATTCTATATTTTTGGTACTTTTTTTTCGCATAATGCCTATAAAATCTGAATGTTTAAAAATAAGTTCGCAAACCAGCATAATTTATGTTGATCAATACTTTTTCTATGCAATGCAACATTATTACTACACTGGAATCACACAGTGTAATAATTTTTACCATTGAAAAACTGAATTTTTCAAAATTATTGATAAACCTGGTATTCTTTGGTTATACCACTGGTATTCTGTACTGATTTTAGTGTTTAACTTTCACTAAATTAAGTTAGCAATATCCCAGAGTATTATCATACAATATGACACACCAAATCCTGGTACAATTTGATAAACCGTTGCTTACTTACCTCCGCACTGGTATTCTGTGGTACATTGGAAGTTTTTCCACAGAATATTAATTTAATTTAAACAAAAATAATTAAGTCTATGAAATCTTGCCCCAAAATCCCCAGGAAGAAAAAATATCGATAGACTATACTAAAAATATCAAGGAACCATATTATATACATTAGACAAAACTGAGATATGGAACATGTAAATTTTTGCGGTATTCTGTGGTACATACACCTGTATAGCTAGTTGCGATAAATATTAGAATATATGGACAAAACAAACTTTGCGAGAGGATATATATGCCGGAATAGGGCGTTGTGAAAACCCGGAATGCCGGAATATCACGGAATATGGCGGAATATCACGGAATATGGCGGAATATCACGGAATATGCCGGAATATTGCGACATTTTCCCGGAATATACCGGAACATCACGATATTTTCCAATGGTAGCCATGGGCATGTACTAAAAGGCGAAACGTCGAAACGAAACGACCGAAACGAAACGGCCGAAAATGTAAATTTAATACAGGAAAATTGAAAAATGCGGATACGGACGGACGGGGGGGACGGACGGACGGGGGGGACAGGCGGATGGACGGGGGAGACAGGCGGATGGACGGGGGAAGAGGCGGATGGACGGGGGGGGGACGGCTTCATTTGAAACGAAACTCAATTTTAAAA